TAAAATGTAGAAAATAATATGAAATAAAACTTTTAGTTGGCTGCAAATATTATAAATTTGTACAACCACTTGCCATCCTCCTTTTTTGTAAATATGTACATAATAATATGTAGAAGATAGAAAATAGAAATATTTTCAGAACAAAAAACCGGCGGCCGCAAATTGGAGTTTTTATTATTTTATTACCCTTCTCTTTTCATATGCAATTATGAGATAGCAAGAGAGTGGGATGGACGTATAGGCCGGACAACTCATTGTGCACGTGTGCGTGCACCTGGCATTTTCTCGTTTTTTTAGGTGTGTTTTGCCGGAATTTGAATGAATGAAATAATCGTACTATTTTTACTATAAACGTATTTCCTGTAGCGACATCTATATGAATATTGCAGTACTTTGTTAGATGAAACGGGACTTCAATTTCCGTTCTTAAGAAACTCGAGGGGATTAAAATAATAACAGAATGTAACAAATTTTTTTTTCTTGAGCTACCTAATTAGGTCCTATTTTTCTGCTCTCTTTCGTTCACTATTATCCACAACTAATTGTAAGAGTTTCGACGTATGGTATAGTTGCGTGTAACAAAAATTTAAACTTTTAAAAAACCATATCAAAACAAAGAGGTTTTCGAAAGTAAATATCAGATAAAAGTTGATGCTCTTGGTGACTTACATTTCTAAGACACCCTGTAGATAAAGTAGCATTTTCTGATCGAGAAAGAATACATTTTTTATTAATTTTCATCTCTTGCTGTAATATAATCGCAATTCATTGGGAAACAGAAATAGTTTCGAGATAATTGTTGTTATCCCTAATGGATATTGTTCACATTAAAAAAATGCTAATGCCCAACTTTTAAGTATGTTGTTATCTTTGTGGTGTAAATTATTATCATTCAAAAAAACAGTTTAATTTATATATTTAAATTTAACTCGATGCTAGTTTGTTCAAGCCAGGATGATCTGCCAGAGATAGGCACGCCTTTGGGCAGAGTTCGGGGATATTGGAAGATTTCAGATGGCAGGAAATATGCTGTTTTTGAGGGAATCCCGTACGCAACACCGCCCGTGGGCGATCTGAGATTCGAGGTAAGTCAAAATATTTTCATCTTTAAGGACAATAAAAAGAATCAGTAGATTTTTAAAATTAAATCTTTAAATCAGTACCCAATTTTTTAAGTAGAAGAAATAATATGAGCTCAAATCTGTAGAATGGTTCATTTATGCCCATTCATGGCCATTTGAAATAACAGTGTTATACGACAGAAAAAATAAAAAAGATTTTTAAAAAATTGCCCTTCACAAATTATTTTTACTACGATTTTGAAAGGCACATATATACGAAAAAACATGAGAAGTACATGTTAATTTAAAAAAAATTATAATAAGACGTCTACAGGTTCGGAAAGTACCGATGGTCCATCTGCTGTTACGTGAGAGCGATAAAGTAAGACATAGAAATCCATGCGATAGAGAAGGATGGCTATAATGAAGGCGTCTCATAGTCACCGCCCGAAGATCCACTTCTTATTTGTGGGAGGGCGAAATGGGCGGTGACTATTAGACGCCTTTATTATAGCCATTTTTCTCTATCGCACGGATTTCTATGACTTACTTTATCGCTCTCACGTAACGGCAGATATGTAGACCATCGGTACTTTCCGACCCTGTATTCAGTACACAATATTTTTTACAGAACTTAAATAAAACAGGGTTTTTTCAAGATAACTCAAAACCGGTGGTAAGGGCTAGAAAAAAAGTTTCATGTATAAGTTTTAAAGCATACAATTCTACATAAAAATGGCCTCTTGACTTTTTCTTGTTTTATTAAAATTAACAGAGTTAGAGGATGCTAGAAGTTAAGGGAAGATTTCAGAAATTTTAAAAAATCATAAGCAGAAAAATGAATGAATTTTGTATTTTTTTTTTTCAATCTATACTAAAAAATGTAACCTTTCTTTTTAGGGAAATTGATTATTTTTTTAAATTTTTAATAAGCAAGTTATAACAATTTCAAATTTGTTGTTCACCCCCCTAAATAGAGATTTTAACGAAAACCTCGAAACAGGTCAATTTAATTTTGTCAATTTGTTTACATAAATCATGTTTTTAATTCTTTTTGAGTAAATATGATTTTTTATAAATAAAAAATATAGTTTTTCTGAAATAAAAAATACGGAATCACTTGCGAAATATTTGTTTTTTATCATAAGTAATTTCCATTTTATTTCATTTCAAAATATTGATTAGAACTCCAGAAATTTTGAAAAAACTGTTTTGTGGGCGAACTTTGAGGGTGTATTTCACCCCGTAAATATGTTTTCTCGCCGATAAAAAAAATACGTGTCTTTTTACATTTTTTAGAGTAAATTGAAAAAAAAATACAAAATTCATTAGTTTTTCTGCTTGTTATGATTTTTTAAATTTCTGAAATCTTCCCTTAACTTCTAGCCTCCCTAACTCTGTTAATTTTAATAGTACAAGAAAAAGTCAAGAAGTCATTTTTATGTAGAATTGTATGATTTACAACTTTTATAAGAAACTTTTTTTTCTACCACCTGCCCCTTTTGAGTTATCTTGAAAAACTCCTTGATTTTATATTTTTTTCACCCTTGGCCGGGGGTTGAACAAGAAAATTACTGTCACTTATTGTTATAATATACCTCAATCTAATTCATATCAAAAATTCAAGCAAGTTGACCAAAATTTCGATTTAAAGGCTTATTTAATTGGACCATACAGTTATCTTTATTTTTATTAATTTGCAGGAACCTGAACCCATACAGGCTTGGTCAGAAACCTTGGAAGCAAACACTCTTCACACGTGCATTCAAACTACGTTTCGTTCCGATAACGCAATATTTGGTCGGTATAAAGCACTACGTACACACATAACTTACTAGAATCAAGATTAATATTGCAACTAAATTGTTTTATTTTTTATCAGGAGACGAAGATTGCCTTTACTTAAACGTGTACATCCCTGAAGATTCCGTGAAGAACCCGAAAGCGCTCGATGTGATAGTTTCGATACATGGTGGTGGTTTTTTGATGGGTAGTGGTCACACCGGTTTTAATGCGACCCTAGAGCAGGATGTCGTGATTGTATCTTTCAATTACCGTCTTGGTATTCTAGGTAAGTGCTTCTTCCTTCCTTCTTCCTTCAGCTTTTGTCATGATTCAAACAGCCTTAACGTTTCAGGATTCCTCAGCACGGAAGACGACGTCATACCCGGCAACAACGGCATGAAAGACCAAGTCTTAGCACTCAAATGGGTCAGAGACAACATCGCTTCGTTCGGCGGAAACCCCCACTCCGTCACCATAGTCGGCCTATCAGGGGGCGCAGTCAGCGTCCACCTCCACTATTTCTCCCCCCTCTCAAAAGGATTGTTCGTCAAAGGGTTTTCGCAGAGCGGTTCGGCTCTAACAACGTTCGCGAACAGGAAGAAAGCATTGGAACGTGCCAAGAAGCTCGCTGCTTTAGTGGGTTGTCCTGACAGTCCCTCAGAAGAACTGAAGAGTTGTCTTAAACAGATACCAGCGCAAACGCTGATACAACAAATGGTGCATTTTTCCAGTTACGAGAACTTGGCGCCACCAACACCTTTTACTCCAGTTGTGGAAAAAGGATCAGCAAACGCTTTCTTAGACGCAGAACCTTACCAGCTCTTGAAGGAAGGTAAAGTTCTTGATGTGCCTTGGATTACTTCCTTTGTTACTGCTGAGGGACTGTTTATTACGGGATGTAAGTAGGATGATACAATCTTTTGCATTACATGATGACTTTTTAATCGCGCAAATACGTAACTCTTTAGATTTATATGAAAACTTGGAAGAGATAAACGAGAGGTGGGTAGAACTATCTCCCGATCTGCTGGATTACAGGGACACAGTAGATGCATCAGAATTGGAGACTGTACCAAAGGAACTTTTGGACTACTATTTGGGAGCAGGAGAAGAGATTAATAAGAAGAACTTCAAAAAATTCACCCAGGTAACATTTCATATTAGAAATTCGTCTTCTTTAAATCCGGTGAGATTATTTTCTTTCAGATTTTCACCGACAGATATTTTGCTGCCGCTGCAGAACTGTCAGCTAAACTGCAAGCCAGTGTAAACAAATCTCCTGTATATGTTTACTTATTTAACTACACTGAGGGTGTGTATAAAATGAGCGACATATTATATCCCGATGGGGTAGAAGGTAAGATGTGACTGTTAATATAAGCAGTTGTTTAGTGGAGATATGGATTCAATTCAAGGTCAAACCATCAGGAGCTGGAACCAGGTGTCCAGCAGTCAAGGAAGGTCAGAGGAAGAAATTCTTGAAGGTGGTCGCCATCGGCAGTGACCAGAGGGGGTACAGAAAAGAAGGAACGGCAGCGAGATGGGGACTGTCGACAATGACTCCAAGAACTTTTTCCATAGACCTTGCTGGACATCGTCGCCGTGGCTGCTGGATATCAATGATAGCTCCTGATGGTCTGACCTCGAAGTGAGCGCAAATCCCCACTAAACAACTAGTAACGTTTAACCAGACTAAGCGTTAACTAATAAAAATTGCGCGCAAAGCAAAATCTTCCAAATAATTCTGTCCACAGGTGTGGCCCATACTGAAGATGGAATCTACTTCTTTGGGGTGATAAATGGAGATTCGTTCTCAGAACAGGATAAACGCTTGATTACTGCTTGTCACAACGTGTTGTACTCGTACGCCAGCAGCGGGTAAATACTACATAAATCAATAATTCTTAAATTACTTATTTCCTTCACTATTATCGTGTTATATAATTTCGCCAAAGTTTCCGAGATTTCACTGTACAGCCTTGGTAGTATTCTAAATTGTGAGAGACTTTTATACAGTGCTTTCGACTTATTTCTGCTAACGTCCTGTAGTTGAATTTGTTCCTGTCGGACTAATAATAAATAAATAAAATTTAAAATTTTTAGTAATCCTTCTTTCGATGGGACAGACACTTGGCAACCAACCGGATCTGAAGAGTTGACTTACTTGGTTGTCAATGGACCAGAAGACATAAAGCTGCAAAGGAGGGAAGGATTGACTCATGTTGACTTTTGGAGCAAGCTCGGACTCTTGGAAAATGAAAATGTTGTAAAGGACGAACCGTAGTTTCCTTTCAGTATCTTATGTATTTTATAGACAATTTTAAATGATTTCTATGAAATATTCTGTATCTTGTATTTATAGTGTATGCAAGAAAAAAATTTAAAAAAGCAATTCATTAAGTTTTATTCTTTTTTTTAACTGATATTTTTATTATATCACTAAATAATGGTCTTTATGAAATGCATGTAAAATATTTACTTTGCATATTATAAAAGAAAATAAAATTAAACCAAAAGTATAATTAACCAATTATTTTTAGGATTTTCCCAGTCGCCGCTGTCAAAGTCTCAAAAACAGGCAGAAAAATGTCTTTTTGCGGTCACTTAATTTGGTTGTCACAGATTAAAATTGATACTGAAATTTACTTAAGCCCTAAGGGAACGAAAAAATTCAGAAGCTACGAGGGTCAAACGATTTATATACTTTTCATTAATAAAAAACTCGTAGCTCCCGCAAATTTGGGTGTCACAGATTAAAATTGATAGTGACACTTACTTATGCCCTAACCAATCACATATATCAGGGAAACTGAAAAATTCAGAAGCTACGAGGGTCAAACGATTTGTTTACTTTTCAATAATAAAAAATTTGTTATTCCTTAGGACATAAGCAAATCTCAGTATAAATTTCAATATGTAGCAGCCCAGCGATGTAAGGGTTATAAATACTACAACTTCAATATTTTTTTCTCGGAAACTATAAGGATTTTACAAATTTTCACGATATTGGCTCCATTTTTCATGACGTATCTATTTCAATTTTTTTTATAAATCGTGAATCACTTNATCAATCCTCTAACAGCTCAAATGCTTCCTCATCTATGAGCACTAGTAGTAAGGTACCTTATTTCCCTTCCTCGTTTTATTGTAAATGTAAAAAAACTGCATTTAATTAAATTTAACTAAGTTATAGTTATGCAAATATACTACAATAATAATAATAATAATGCTTTATTGCCCAACAGTCAAGACCAATAATAGGACATATAGAACAATTAATTAAAATATTTTTGTGATTAAAATGCGGTTGGCATGAATGAAAAACTTTCACCTGGCATATACAGGGTCCTCAGAAAATCGGTAAATATAAAAATCTTTCAAGAATAAACTGCCCTTGTTTTTAACCGTACAGAAATATGTTATAAAGGAAAGTTGCTTAGAATTGAAACTTATAATTTCAATTTTTTGTGTATGAATCGGACTTTGGTAGAAACGGACAGTCAAACATTTTTATTGTTCATTTTACGAGAAAATGGCATTCTTGATTAAAATTTTTGCTAGTCTTTAAAATGAGGTTGACATGAAGAACTTTCGTCTTGCATGTACAGGGTGATAAAAAAATATAAAAATCTAAAGAATAAACTGTCTTTTGCTCATCATCCAAATATAATTGGTACGAAGAACTTTTTTAGTAATTTTTATTTAATGCCTCTTTTTAAGATGTATGAGTAACGGAAATATTTCCAAACTTCTTAATAAATTATATTTGTTTCTTAGTTTGTACTTAGGAATTCACACACTAACGGAAAATGCGAAAATTCTTACGAATCCTGACAGGGGTGGGGAGGGGCCAAAAATACGTCAAAAAAAGTCTTACGTAATTTATATGGATGTCTCCTAATGCGGTTAGTAGTTTTACAAATTTCACAATGTTCTGAAATAAATTAGGGAGATAATAATTGTACAAGTGGATATAAGTGTGGAATATACCTAATAGGTACCTAGTTGAAAAATATTTTTTTTCAAATGGAATGACCCATATTAATTGTCACCTATTTTATATCGGCAAATTCAACTGGTTTTACCGCTATTGTCATTATTAATTAATAAGAATCACAACTGACAACTGTTCAAAATCGTACGTAACATGGTATACCCGAACCATGAATTTGAATCTAAAAAACCTAACCACAAAACCAACATTAACTAAGTTAGTCTATCAGGCTTCATTGTAAATTTAATAAATGGTTAGTAATAATAAGCCACAATAATGTTTTACGAACGTTTTATTGCTATTTAAATGTTCTTATGGATTTTTTCTAGCAAAAATTCGAGTTAAACAAAATTTCAAGGTCTTTAGGTTATGTTTTCCGTTTTGACTAAAGTTTTTTGTGATCGCGATGATGAACACTCAACAAAAATACATTTATACTTTTTATTAAAGAAAATAATTTTGTGGCAATTTTGTTCACTCTAATGATTTGATTTGACAATCCTTCCAGTTTTGAGGTTAGGTTCTTGGGTTAAGGTGTCAGATTTGGGTACAGTATGGCACAAGGTGTGTGCTCTCGGAAAAAATGTTGATCGAATCTCTGTACAATAAATATATTTTTTGGTGATGGTTAGAA